TATATATATATATATAAATATTCAATAAAGTAATATTTTGAGTAAACGTTTAATTTATTCATGCATTTATCAAAAGTGAAATCAATCAAATTCACATCACCGCGCGTGATCGTTTCAAATTTCGATTCACTTGTCACAACGTGCGCCAGTTATTTCTCATTGTAATAATCGCCGAAAGGATTACGTGTATCTCGAGTGGTCCGGCGCGATCTCGCGATCTATCAATTCTATTGGTACAATTGTGCTTTCTGCTGTCTGTAAATCGAGTTAGAGAACATTAACGGTGAATCAACCGTGCCACTAGACACAGCACGTGTCTCTTATCTCGTTTAATAAGCGAGCCGACGATATCGGTCGACCCAGGAAGCGTGTGAACTCGTAAAACCAGTGATCCCGAGTCCCTATCCGCGTCATCGATGTTCGATCGTTAAATCGTAATTGTACAAAGTTCCCCGATGTTTCGTAACTGAAGGCACGAAATGCTAATACGTATCAGCCCGATTCGAGTTTCACGTTTGATAATTAAGCAGCAAGAGTCTAGACACTGTATTATTAGCGACGCGGTCGTTGGAGGCAAGATTTTGAAGCCGTTGAAGCTTCGTACTATAGATACTCGAAGAATAATAATTTTAGAATAGAGGAATGGCAGCGATAATTCACGGGATTTCTAAACGAAGGATAATGCAAAAATAGAGGATAAGAAAATAACGAAGCTCGAAATTAGTTAAAATTAATAATACGTTTGAAATAATCCGAGTGTTCTCTGATGAAATCATCTTGCATAGACAGTTTCAATACACTGAATGACGAAATGTTCGATACTGATATCGACATCTCGAACAAAAGCTAGTGCGCAATAATGAATTAAGTTTACAAATAAGTAAACAGTATCATAGCTACGAGTAAGTGATTAAAATTTGAAAGAAATCGAAGCACCGAGTATTGGAAAAAGAATACGCTTCGCTGTGAGATTATAGATCCTATACGTTCCAGAGACATTTTTATAGATGGTCTCTCTCAGCTATAAGTCGAAAAGCCTGGGTTAAATCGATATCTATGTTGCGTCTACCGCGGCTGCGAGTATAGGATATTCTCGGTTATGCTGCTAAAGCACAATATTTTTTCCTATATTATTATAGTTCATAAATCAGCATTCTTTCTTTCTAACGTTTACAACTACCGCCTTTGAAGCGGAAATTCTGAACGGCGCAATGACTGAAATTGAAGGATAAATAATTAAAATAATCGATAAACAAACCGTGAAAAGCTTGATTTGTCGACGGATAATTCTATTATCTAGTGTTGTTTAATTGTTTCAGCTACAAACGTATATGTTGTAATTTCTAATTCGATTGAGAACGAAAATCAACAATGTTAAGCTAATGAAATTTGAAAAGCGGCAACGCGGATCGATAAACTGTGAGATCAATTATGCAAACGCGGCGCGGCGTTGTCGAAAGCGAGGTTCGTTGGCCGGCAGAAAATTGAAAAGCAAAAGCGCACGTCGCTCGATTTATGGACTGCATATTCCTAGATGACTGAGAATATTTCCTCGGAGAAATTCCGTCTCAGCTGCGGTATGCCGACTCATGCTATTGGTCGCGTTCCAATATTTTCGTCCGCATGGATTTCGTATCAACAACATCTTTCGTACGTGTTCCACATTCGAGCAACAACGAGTATTACTTTGCCGTCTCGAATATGTTTCGATTGGAATTCCTTTCCTGTTTTGTCCCGTCTTTTGTAAAAACATTTAACCGATATTTAGATCCTAGTCGATCGGACAAATCAAGTGGATTATTGCCATTTTGCAGGATAAAGATGATCGATGATATTTGTCGTTAAAATATTAAAATGAAACGTTAAAACTGTAAGGTGTGACAAAGTGAAAATTTTATACACTCTATTTCTGTATAGACGATATAGTTGCTATATTCTACAACTTCATGGTTCATAACACTCAATTCTAATTCCATCTCTGGCCGAGCAAAGTACGTTTTCTTTCCAAACAGAATGTACTGCCAGAATTATTATAATTCCCAGACCAAGAACGTATTATTCTTTGGGTCTTTGAAACGCCAACTCCCAATGGCAAACGCGCGTATGATCATCCAAATTTCCATGGAGACTGAAATAACCATCAATCTCTATGCTCTGAGAAGCGTGTCAGCTCTTAGTACTTAGTACTTTTAATGAGGCCGGAGGAACATGAGAAGAATATAGAGCGCGTAATAAGACCACGAAGAAAGAAAGAAACGGTACGAGAAGAAAGATCGGGGAGCAGTGCGATAATACACGTTATTCCGATCGAGTGAAACGCGGTCGTTCCTCTCCCCAGAGTAAGAGGACTTACCTCTTCAACGAATGATCTCTGCTGTATATTGGTCCAGCACATTTTGCACTGGCACACGTCCTTCTCTTTGAAATTCTCAGCCCTTTCTCTGTCGCGGCTGGCGGTGACCTGTGGCGGCGGCGGAGGCGGCACCGGCGGCGGAAGCGGACTAGTCGCCACCTCTAGGCTATCCGAGCTAGAGTTATGACGTCGCGGCGGCGTGATGTTCGTCGTTACGTTCCCCTGAGACAGCGAGGGCTGCTGCTTCGCGTCGGCCGATCTTCCAGCCGGATGATCGTTACCACTGGCGGACGACTTTGAGTGCGACGGCGACAGGTAAACGTTCAGCATGCACTTGTTGTTCTGTTGCGGCTGAGGCCGCAGGAAGTCGTCCAGAAGATAAAAGCTCTGCGCGCGGTTCGATCGCGTGGTGGTGGACGTGGCGGTGCGCGTGTCGGTGCCGATGATCGACTGTTGCTCCGCTTTGCAGATACTCTCGCGGTTCGTCCGACCTCTGCACTCGTCGTCGAACTGATGTCTAGCGGTCACGTGTCTCTCCTCCACGTCTCTGTCCGCGCAGTCCGCGGCTTCCTGATACAATCTGCGACTAACCTTCGACCTGCCGGTCTGATGACCGAATTCCCCGTTCTCTCTGTAAATGTCGCGAGTGACGCGGGACACGCGGGCCGAGTAGGAGGTGGGCTGCTGGTAACGCGTCGACTTGCAACTCGAGCCGTGCAAATCATCCCGGAAGTGCTCGCCCTCGATCATGGAGACGCTCATGTTATGCGACAGCGAGTGTTGAACAGCGTGTGAACCAGCGCCGGTCGGAGCCCTCAGCAAAGCACCGAGAGACCGCCACTTCCTGTCTTGCTGCCCCGTCGAGTTCGACGACGAGACCGACGACCTGGTCCACTTCCTCTCGTTCCCCGGCGAGGTTAGAGCGCTGCTGTTGTTGTTGCCCACCGACCACTTCCGGTCGTTCGTAGGCGAGGTCACCGCCGACGGCCACTTTCGTTCGTTCGACGGAGACGCCATCGAGGTGCTCGACCACTTTCGCTCGGCCGACGAGGCCGTCAGCATCGCGCCGCTGCCCGAACTGTTCAGCTGGTCCTCGCGTTGCCTCGCCTTCCACCACGACGACGTCGAAGTGAAGAGTATCAGTGCCCCCCTCAACGGATTCTGATTCTTCCCTGACGTCGTTCCCTTCCCTGGCGAGTGTTCCCTGTCCTTGATCTTCAACGAGAATTCCCTGTAATTGGTGTCGCATTCGCGGTCGCTGAACGCCGAGGCGTCGCGGTCCCAAACCGACGACGAGGTGCCGCGATCGTTCTTCTGGCCAGCTAGCTCCTCCTCGTAGTGCAACGTGGCGTTAGTGCTACGGAGACGTGGCCGAATTTTCACGAAACCGTAATCGTTGCTATCTTGCACAGCCTCCAACGCCTCGATGCGATGCTGAACGGTGCCGGTGGACTGTTGCAGCAGAGACGTCTGCCCGCCGGATGTGTATTGGTGATGGTTGTTGCCGCTCAGCTGCAAGCTCGGCTGCTGCAGAAGCGTCGAGGTCCTCGCCCTGTGTCCCTCGCCGGCGGTGCCGCGTTGCAAACAAGAGAAACTCGCCGAGTGTCGCAGGCTCGAGGGTGGATTTCCCGGTTGACTCACTCCCAACATCTTGCCTCTCTTTGATATTCAGTCTTTTTGATCTCGAACACCGGCAGAAAGAGAATCTCGAGCGTATCGAGCACGAGCGATCTCTCCTTATTTTCTTCCCCTTTGTTTTTTTTTCCTTTTTTCTTTTTTTCTCTTTATTCTCCACTCACTCTCTCCCTCTCTCTCTCTCTCTCTCTTTCTCTCTTTGTGAAATCAGACGGAACGACACGTTTCTAACCGAGTATCATTACTCTGGCAGTGATCCTCGGTCCCGGTGTGTCTCGGCTCCCTTCGACAACGCGTTCGAAATCGACTGGTCTCGAAATGTAAACGAAACGTGGACGCCTGGCTGTTCGTTTGTGTGCATCCTCTCGATACGATTCTCGTAAAACTGGCAGCCGCCAGACGGCTACGTCATCCTCGTCGCTCTCGGTGCCTTTCGTACCGTGCAACGACGGTTCGTACGAAATCTGAAACAGAAAGTAGGAACAGGATAGGGGCCAGCAACTCAAAAGAAAAAAAAAACGGCTACGACAAATCGAAGCGTCGTGAGGCAACGGTCGGTGAAAAAAAAATGAAAATGACGGAGGAGACTGACTGTGAGCGAGAAGAGGCAAGGACGAAGTCTAGGGAAGAGAAAATTTGTGAAACACGTGAATGGGCGTATGTATATGCGGGCGACGGATGGTCTGGCTTTGGAAGAACGGAAAGAAAAAGAAAGAAAAAGAAAGAGAGGAGGCTAAGAAAAGGAACAGAGAAAAAGGGACACGAGACGATTTGACAGAAGGAGATTGATGAATGATGAAGTTTTGTGGCCGATGCCTGAGGCCAAGTATCTACCGATTTGCATTTTTTTTTTTTCCCCGAAAAAAAGTCACGTTTTCCATTGGAAAATTTTCTCTGGATAATTTGTCTCCGTTCAAAAAATTCCTTCAAAAGTTCTTTGTATCTCCGTATCACTTCGAAAGTCGGGAAAATTTTCAAACCTAAATTGCCGTCTATTCCAAAGAATATTCTGAAACTTCCAAATTCCAAAGTTTGAGTGTTCCCTTAAATTTTGACTTTCAAGCTTCTAACTCAAGATTCGAATCTTTTACCAAAAAAAAGAAGAAAACAAATACATCTAACTTTCGAATTGGAATTACAAATCGGTAGACATTTGTTAGACAAGTAGTTTAAAGTGCGCGTGATAAGTGCGACAGATATGCGAGAAATATGCATGTACATCGTGAAGTATACACGTCTACAGCGACATGCTGATCAACGAAAAAGACCGATGCAAAAAAGAAGCGTTGGATATATACAAGAAAATAACGTAACAAATTTATGAATAATCACAGGGTAACGGGAAGTGACTCAACAGAAACAAAATAAAAAAAAGAAAAAAAAAGAAAGAAAGAAAAAAGTCAGGGTCATCTACGGTGGTTGGTAAATTGGTTTGTAATATTAATCTAAACACATATAATCGTTTCCTATTTAACTAAGTCTGGACCGTAATTAACGCGAATTAACATTGGCTTGAGGATTGTGTCTGGCAACCGCTCGAAGGTCCGATGTATTTAACCCCTTGACTCACGATTTCGTTTATCAACTACGTGACTATCACTACTTTATAGAATAATTAACAATCTGTTGAAACAATCGACGTGGCTTAAATTTAATAGTTGTTGTTAATTTCGGAGGTTGGAAGTTCTATCGTTTTTCTTGTAATTTTAAATCATAATTTTTCCACGTCGCAAGGCAAGGAGTTAATCACGTGTTTTTTTAAATTAAAAAAAAAAAAAAAAAAAAAGAAGAAAGAAAGATACGGACATTTTCGTTTTCGAAGTTTAGCACATTTTAGTTGAACCTCGTTAAAAGGAGAAAAGTTGAACGTAAGTCGTTAAATTGGATCGAGTAGTCGGAGTCGTGTGCATCTCGAGAGCTGATTAAAAATTATTCTCGATTCCAAGCGAGATTCTGTGCTTAACATAACACGAGGGAGAATCTTCGACCCGATAAACTGGCGATAATGTACCAATTATCGATCGTGTTGGCATAACTTTTAAATACACGAACGAGTAAACAGGGTATTAAAACGCGATGAATTTTAATAAACACGATAAGAATTAATTAATATACGAAAGTACCTTCGGTATCCCAGAAATATCCTTCGATGGGGAGGAGATTTCTAGCGAAATGTTTCTGCTGATCCTCCACTATTTCTATCTAAGAAAATTATTGTTATTCTCTCGCAAATAAACGTTTCCCCGATTACAATCTTCAAGCTCGATGAATGTTTCAAAGCATTTACATCGAAACTTTCGAACATTCGAAAGAGCAAAATTCTTCAAAAATTTCTCAGCTTGAGACTCGAATTCCCTCAAATTTAAAATATCTCAAATTCTAGCGGCATCGAAACCTTAGTACTTGCGAATTCGAACGTTCCAAGCGCCAAGTACCAAGGATCGTCAAACTTGCAAATTGAAATGTCCCAAATTCCAAAGACCTTTCGAGAGATCTTTAAATCTGCGAATGAGTAAGTACGTCGGCAAATGTTCAGACCACCCTCGAACTTGTACGTTTCGAATATTCAAATTGCAAGAGAATTCCACGAAATTCGAGGTGCAATCTCGAGCGGCGAGAAATGGAATTCGTTCGAGTGGCGGTGTATATGGAACGAGTTACACGGCTCGCGAGATTTCTCTGAGGCTGTCTGCCGCGCGTCTATGTAGGCGCAAAACAGTGAAAGGTTTTTCAAGGCAGGAGAGCAA